TACGTAGGGGGTCCAAATGTTTGCGTGATGCCGGTGGTCTGGGGCGTGTTTTGCGAGCGCTTTGCGTGCTGTGCACCCGGGTGCGGGGTGTCCTTCTGGGAGGTCGGCCTTTCGACCCGCAACCAAGTGGAGGAGCACTGGGAGACGAAAGGAGCAAGAGTAGCGTGTGGAAGCTGTGATCAGCGAAGCATCACAGCGAAAGATGTGGCAGATGAATCGAAACGGGTGAAGAGGCTGTTGACGTTCGCAGCGCGCACGAAACAGTTCGCGCGGCAGCAGCACATTAGCGCCGAGCAAGATAGTGAGCACGTCGCGAGGAAGAGTAAGGTTGTATGCGCGGAGTGCATTGCAGTTGGCGTGACGGCTCGCAATACGGAAGCGTCTGGGGGTCTTTTGGGGGCCTCCTGGGGGCCTCTTGTGGGCTCCTTGGGGCGTCTTGGCGGTTTCTTGAGGGCCGTTGGCGGCCTGTTGGGGCGCTCTTGGGGCCCCCTGGGGCTCGTGGGGGCGGAAAGCTAGATTTTTGAATTGTTGGTTGCCCTCTTGGGCCCCTCTTGGTGCCGTCTTGGAGCCTTCTTGGGCCGTTTTGGGGACCTCTTGGGCCGTCTTGGGGCCATATTGGACCGTCGCGGGGCCGTCTTGGGGGCCTCTTGGGCCGTCTTGGGGCGGTTTTCGGGGCTTCTTGGGCCGTCTAGGAGCGTCGGAAAACCCAGAAGGCGGTTGTGTGAACATTGTACGTTTCACGACGGGAATACGTACATGTCTGCGTCCAGGGACCGTCTTGGGACGCATCTTGGGGGCCTCTCAGGGGCGTGTTGGGCCATCTGGAGGCCATTTCGGGTGTCTTCGATCGCTATTGGACCGTGTGGGAACATGTTGAGCTCTCTTGGAAGCCACTTGGAGCGCTCTTTGGGCCGTCATCGGGGCTCTCTTGGGCCGTCTTCGGCGCCGCTTGAGCCGTCTCAGCGCCTTGTTGGGCTGTCTTGGGGCCCTCTTGGGGGTTTCTTGGGCCGTCTTGGGGCGGTCTTGGGGGCCTCTTGGGCCGTCTGGGAGCGTCGGAAAGCCCGAACGGCGAATTTGTGAAAAAAAAAAAACGCACGCTTTACGAAGGGAGCGGGCTAATTTTTGCGTCTAGAGGCACTCTTGGGACGCATCTTGGATGCCTCTTGGGGCCTCTTGGGGGCATCTTGGGCCGTCAGGAGGCCATCTTCGGTGTCTTTGATCGCTCTTGGGCTGTCTGGGACCATATTGAGCTCTCTTGGAGGCCACTTGGGGCGCTCCTGGAGCGCTCTTGGGGCCCTTTTCGGGGCCCTGTTGGGCCGTCTTGGACGCTTGTTGGGCCGTCTTGGGGCCCTCTTGGGCTATCTTGGGACCCTCTTGGGGGTTTCTTGGGCCGTCTTGGGGCGGTCTTCGGGGCCTCTTGGGCCGTCTTGGAGCGTCGGAAAGCCCAGAAAACGAATTTGTGAAAATTATACGTTTTACGAAGGGAATGGGCCAATTTTTGCGTCTAGGGACCCTCTTGGGACGCATCTTGGAGGCCTCTTGGGGCCTCGTGGGGACCTCTTGGGCCGTCTTGGAGGCCTCTAGGCTCGTCTTGGGGCCATCTTGGGCGTGTGGGAGCGCTCGTTTGGCGTTTCGGGGCCCTCGTGGGCCGTCTTGGAGGCCTCTTGGAGCCTTCTGGGCCCGTCTTGATCCCCTTTTGGGCCCAAAAGAGCCCCGTGGCGCGCTCGTGCTGGGCCCGGGGGGGGGGGGTCAAATCTCCGGTTTGGGGTCCCTGGGGGGGGGGATTATGGGGGGGGAACTATCTCACACGCCTAGAGACCCACAAGGGGTCGGCGGATTTGCTTGAATTTACTGAAGATTGGCCTTGCGTTGGGATCTCTTGCAATTTGCCCGAGCGCCACGCTCCCGACACCCAGGCACCCAGGAATTGCGCCCGTTGTGGCCCCATGTGCATGCCCTTCGTGGCCCCGCTGTCGCCATTTGTGTCCCCCTCACTGTCCTACGTGGCCCAGTTGCTACCTTCAGTGGCCCCATAGTTGCCTTCTGTGGCCCCGCATTATCTGCACTTCGTGGCCCCCGCTCGTTCGCGCTCTTCGTGGCCCCATACGCATTCCCTCGTGTCCCCGCTGTCGCCCTGCGTGGCCTACTTCGTGCCCTTCGTGGCCCTGCTGTCGTTCTCTCGCTCTCGCTTTCGCTCGTCGTCGCCGTCGTCGTCGTCGTCGCCGTCGTCTTCGACGTCGTCGTCGTCGTCGTCGTCGTCGTCGTCGTCGTCGTCGGTCCCCTGTCCGTCCCTCTTGGGGTCGGGTCGACGGTCCGCGGCCGCCCCGCCGATCAGCGCTGCCGCTGGCCAGGCCGACGGTCCGCGGCCGCCCCGCCGCTTGCCGGGGCCCGGCCTGCAGGGAAGAAAGGTATACCTCCCAAAAGGGGTTCGATCGAAGACGAGGGCGGGTATCGAGGGTTTGGGAAATACGCGTTATTGGACACTCGAGCATATAAGGGCGAACAGTATTAAACTTGTTGTTGTTGTTGAACATTATTACTTCGAAAGAATAATTATTGTTGGGGCCCCTGGTGCATGGCCCCCCCGCCGCGCCTAGGCCGCAGCCACATTTTCATCATTTTCGTGAGGAAGTCTCAGGTAAAACGATGTCATCCAGATCCGGTTGTGTTGTTACGATCGGTTTTCCCTTGCAAAAAATAAGCTAAAGTGGACATTTCTTGTTCTAACATAACCAAACTTCAAGAATCCCTTGCAAAAAATAAGGTAAAGTGGACATTCGCGCGCGCAAGACGAAATCCTTCCAAAACCTTAGTTTTCGTAGCGATTTTAACATACAAACATCAAAAAACCAATGGTTTTTTCAAACAAAAAAATGTCAAAATTTCATCCCGCGCGCTCTTGCGGATTCGTAGGAAACCCAACACTTTTTAAACATTTCTGTCAAACGGGCTTTTGCGAGCAACTTTTTCGAACTTCTGCAACAACGGTTGCGCACCTGCCAGGGCCATCATCCCTGTCAAATAATACCATGCGGGACACATTCGTTTTTTCTTCGCGCGCGCACGCCGTCGTCGTCGGCCGCGGGGCCCTGAATAGTAGCCGCGGTCGTCCGCATGCCACGAAGTGAAGTGTCCGAACGTCATAGGGCGGGAAGCTGGGTGTGGGTGGTGGCGAAGAGTCGTTTGGAAATTTGGTAGAGCTTGAACCGGCCCCCCCACAAAGTGGGGGTATTGCCCGCCTCCTATGAAAACCCTGGCACTGGTGAGAACGACGGTGTGTCCCCACGTGCTAGTAATTGTTGTTGTTGTTGCTGTTGCTGTTGCTGTTGCTGTTGTTGTTGTTGTTGTTGGTGTTGGTGTTGGTGTTGGTGTTGGTGTTGTTGTTGGTGTTGGTGTTGGTGTTGGTGTTGGTGATGTTGTTGTTGTCGTCGTCGTTGTTGTTGTTGGTGGTGTTGTTGTTGTCGTTGTTGGTGTTGTTGCTGTTGTTGTTGTTGTTGTTGTTGGTGTTGTTGTTGTTGTTGTTGTTGTTGTTGTTGTTGTTGTTGTTATTTGTTGTCGTCGTCACACCCGCGATCCACCCGCGACCCACCCCGCGACCCACCCCGCGACCCAACCCGCGACCCACCCCGCGACCAAACCCGCGACCCACCCCGCGACCCACTCCGCGACCCAACCCGCGACCCAACCCGCGACCCACCTGCGACTCACCCGCGACCCAACCCGCGACCCACCCTGCGATCCACCCGCGACCCATCCCGCGACCCATCCGATCCACCCGCGACCCACCCGCGACCCGCGCGACCCAACCCGCGACCCCACCCGCGACCACCGCGACCCAACTGCGGACCAACCAGCGACCACCCGCGACCCATTTGCGACCCACCCGCGACCCACCCTGCGACCCACCCGCGACCCACCCCGCGACCCACCCGCGACCCACCCGAGACCCACCCCGCGACCTACCCACATTGGGTGAACGAAAAGATTGGCGCTTTGCGGCGGGCTCTTTAAATACAGTAACGGCGTGCATCAAGAAAACAATTGCTTTTCGGAAGGGCACCCTGGGTTTCTTCGATCCTCGCGCTGCGCGGTGACTTCCCGCGGCCGTGAACAAGCTGATGCGTTCAGGGTGTTCCGAGTCTACCGTCAGGTGCATATACCTCGAGCGCGGGTTTTCAGGGTTGGGTTTCTAGCGATGGTTTCTTGCGACCGCGCCCGCATTGTAATGTGTGAGACAGCGGCGCCTGCGGCGTGCTTCTCGAAAGTTTCGCAGACTGCCGACGTCCCCACAGCCCCCTTACTCTTATCCGCATTTGCGGGGTGCTATGGGATATAGTGTGTGAAACTTTGTCGCCTGCGGCGGGCTTCTCCAGAGTCTCGCAGACCGCCGAGTTCCCCACCGCCCCCTCACTCTTGTCCGCATCTGCAGGGTGCTACGGTATATAATATATATATATGTACATATATATATACATTCAGATATAGATATAGATCACCTCCCCCTTCATTCACGCCCAAGCAGGTCGGGCGGACGGCAAGAGACTATATCTTTGTGAAGGGGTCAGGCCAAAGCCAGGACTATCGGGCCCGCCCGCCCGCCCCCCCCGCCCTCGCCCTCTGGGTAACTGTGGTGCGCGCGGATAGACGTGGGGTTGCCCAGAGCGAAAAGGTGAGGCCATCGGCGGGCGCCTCCTTCCCCCCCCCCGCCCATTGATTTTCAACAGGGGGGCTGTGAACGTGAGTGGGGCCGAGGATTGCAGGACAGAGGCCGCGCAGTCAAGAAGCTGAAATAAGGAACAGTTTGGGTTCGGAAGGGGCTCGATCTTCCTTAGGTTCCCCCAGTGCTGGTCTTGTTGCCCTCCTGGGGTACGGAGGCGCTTGCAGGGCCAAGAACGGGCTTCGTTCCTTATTGACCGTTCCTTCTTTCAGCGGCCCGACTGTAACAGGAGGACATGGCCGACCCGAGTTTCTTGCACCCCCGATACTCAAAAGCCGAGCAGGTTGGGGAGCGCATGGTGGCCTACGTGCACCACAAGCTGAAGCACACAGGCAAGATCAACATGAGCACGCGGCCCTCCCCGAAGCCTCGAGAGCGCTGGGACGCGATCGTCTGCGACGGGCAGACGCCTTACGCGGGCATCGTGACATCCACGAGCTGGCACGGAGTCTTCGTCGACGTAGGATGCGAGTGCCACGCGATCCTGCCGATCCCCAACGCCTCCCCAGAGGCCAGGTCCCGGCTCGAGGCACTCAAGGTCGGCGACGCGGTAACCGTATACGTCGTGCAGAAGCGCAAGGATCCAGGGCTCCCGGACGGGGTCCGAGCAGATGTCGACCACGCGCAGAGGAGGCCAGGGGGAGGGGGGACGGCTTCTTAGAAGCACCCCTGCTTCTTAGAAGGCGCGGGCCTTGTCTCTAGATGTAAGGCCGGCGCCTTCTAAGAGGCCGCCTCCTCCTTCTACGAAGCGTTCCCCCCTCGGCCTACCCTCGTGTGCGCGCCGCCAACAGATGGGGTCCCAGGAGCGTTTCTTTCTTTTTCTCTCTGGCGGGTAACGCTTGCTACCCGGGGCCACCCCCCCCCACCCATGCCGGGTAATGTTGCTAACGATCGTACGTTTTTTGGGGGTGAAGGGCGGACCCCCTCCTCTCAGCAGGTATGGCAATTCATGTGCCGATGGCGCGGGCGCACCCTGGCGGGCGCACGCCGCGGCCGCCGTTGCCGTTACCCGCCGGCCCCACCTCCCCCCCGCCACCCTCCGGGCAACAGCCGCTACTCCAAATCATAAAAATCGGTCTCCAGCATATGGGGATCGGAGACTCGCGCCACATCGACGAGGCGTCGGCGAGGCGTCTCGATGTGGGAACCCGTGTTTCTCCACGCCGACGTCGTCGATGCATCGCCGACGCCGCAGACGCATCGCCGATGCATCGGCGGTGAATCGGCGATGCGTCACGATTCTCTGACCAAGTACTACTGGGACCCCACTTGGGAGGCCCTCGAAGGAGAATTGGAAGGTGACCCTCTCGCTGGACCCCTGCGAGGAGCCCCTCCGCAGCTGCGAGGTCCTCTGCGCCGACGGCCAGACCGCCTACCCGGGCACTCGGAGAAGCAAACACAGCACGAACAAAATTCGCAGCTCAGCTCGGAGGAGGAGGAGCATGAGGAAGAGTAGGAGGAGGAGGAGGAGGAGGAGGAGGAGGAGGAGGAGGAGGAGGAGAAGTCGGAGGCGGAGGCGCAGGCGGAGGCGGAGGAGGCGGAGGGGGAAGAGGAGGAGGAGGAGGAGGAGGATAAGAAAGAGGAGGAGGGAGAAGGAGGAGGAGGAGCAGGAGCAGGAGCAGAAGCAGGAGGAGGGGGAGGGGCAGGAGGAGGAGGAGGAGGAAGAGGATGATGAGGATGATGAGGATGATGAGGATGATGAGGATGATGATGATGACGAGGGGGAGGATGATGATGATGATGATGATGATGATGATGATGATGAT